CGGTAAGATCCTTATAACCTAGCTTTCAAGCCCCATTCGAAAAAGTTGCAATTACCCACTTTATGAAAAAGTAGCTCAGCTCACGTAAATAAGCTCAGCCTGACCAAGTAACCATTCTACCAAAAGAATAACTAAAAACTAACATAGTTTCAAAACCAAAACCTAGCATAGCTTATAAACTTCTACAAATAAGCCTCCTCAAACACCCTCTCAGTTGTTACATTGTTCTAGTAAAGAAACATACCTAGATAAACATGCATGAACTCCTAATTTTATTCCAAAACATACCTCGACAACACGATTGAAGAGTAACTGCAGCCCTTTTAGTTAGGATGAACTCTTTGCGAGCAAAGAATTTTCGGAAACAACACTGAACGATCCTTGAAGCGTTATCCAAAACCACATTCCGCTGAGAATCTAAAACTGCAATCTGACCAGCTCGAAGGAAAACCTTAGTTCTACCAAGCTGCAAGCATCAGATATTAACATCAATATGAAGGTATATATACAGTAAAACATGTCATTTAATAAAACAAAAGAATCGTACTGGAATTCTATACAAGGCTTCCAAGCTCAATGCTTTAACATTGTTACCTATGCTGTTATGCCAATCAATTTATAGCTTGGATGAATAGGTGATGATTCTCTGAGAATCATCCATTCATAGTCAAAGAATGATTGACATTTGTCGCTCGTTTGTGAATGTTATTTAAACAAAACCTTTCATCTTCTTTGCTGTTACCAAACAAATGTTACAGCATTTTACCCTTTGCATTTACAACATAATTTATACGCCGAAAATAGAAATAAATTTTTTATTTCTGAAAAATTCATACTTAATTTGGCCGACATGTGCTTTAGTGCATTGAAGTTCCTATATAGCATACATGAAACAGATTGGTCCCGAGGAGACCTGGCACTGGTCAGGCGAGGAATTGCTACTTTCGGCATGTCATGAGCAATTCGGTACGACAGTATGAGCAAATAGGTGAATTGTCCTGCTCGATAAATTGCTTAATAGAAAAACTGATATTCCTAATTTTAGAGAAAAGAAATTTCATTTTTGCCTCGTCATGCAAACTCATTTAGATTTGTCATGCAAAAGCTTGCTTTGGCTTGTCCTTAGGTAGCCACCTGTCTTCGTGGAATTATCCCACATTGGTAAGAGTACTACCATGAAGATTTGTCATGCCTATATAAGAAAGGCATAGGTAGACATGAAGGAGTAAATAAAAACTAAATAGTTCTGGACTCTTAGAAGGTTTGAGGAAATCCACATTTTCAAAGATCCTATCTCTATTATGTTGAATCCTCACAGTGAGGGGTGGATTAGATTGGAGGCATCTTCTTTTGGGGAATTTTTCTAGAAGACCTTGGAACATCATTTAGAAGATTTAGAATAGTCATTTATCATTCTAAACTTCATTTTTTTTTTAATTTTTATTAATGGATCAATATATACATATTCTGTCACTGTTGTGCATTATGATTTGCTTCAAACCATCCATAGAAGTATTAACTTGAGTAATAAAACCATGATGAGTTTAGATATGTCTATGTGCTTTATGAAAGTTGACGAGTAAGTCATATCCTTATCTGAAGACGTAAATTTATAGTGTGTTATTATTTTTAACATATATCATAACGATTGTATGTTTTATACAATCAGGATAACTCGTCTAGACATTGACATTTTGGACACACGAAGTTACATACATACATACATACATACATACATACATACACACAGACACAGACACACACAGACACACACACACACACACACACACATACACACATACACACAGACACACAGACACACAGACACAGAGACACACACACACAGACACACAGACACACACACACACACACAGACACACAGACACACAGACACATACACACATACACACACACACACAGACACACACACACACACAGACACACATACATACATACATATACATATGTATATATATGTATGTATAGATATATGTATACATATATGTATATATATACATACATATATGTGTATATATACATATATGTATGTATATATACACATATATGTATGTATATATATACATATATGTATATATATATACATATATGTATATATATATACATATATGTACATGTATGTATATATATACATATATGTATATATATACATATATGTGTATATATACATACATATATGTATATATATATACATATATGTACATATATGTATATATATACATACATATATGTGTATATATACATATATGTGTGTGTGTATACACATATATGTATGTATATATATACATATATGTACATATATGTATATATATATACATATATGTATATGGATATATGCTTGGTACCAAGAACAAACTATGTGCCTGGTAGTGAGGTAGCTTATTTCTATCCACTCATTCAAATGATCCTCATTCGAAAACTATCACCCTTTAATTATCCAACTCATGTGGATGTGGTACCCCCTTAAAGTGACTAGATAGGAATAAGTCACCTCATTACTATATGTATATACTATATATATATGTATATATTATTTTTTTTCATTTTATTTCCTTTTTTTATGCAAATCCAAAAATTCCTCTTTTTTATACATAGGTCATCGATTCGGCATTGGATATATATAGTAATGAGGTGACTTATTCCTATCTAGTCACTTTAAGGGGGTACCACATCCACATGAGTTGGATAATTAAAGGGTGATAGTTTTCGAATGAGGATCATTTGAATGAGTGGATAGAAATAAGCTACCTCACTACCAGGCATATATATATATATATATGGGAGAAATGGATATATGCTTGGTACCAAGAACAAACTTTGTGCTTGGTAGTGAGGTGGCTTATTTCTATCCACTCATTCAAATGGTCCCCATTCGAAAATTATCACCCTTTAATTATCCAACTCATGTGGATGTGATTCACCTTAAAGTGACTGGATAGGAATGAGCTACCTCATTACCAAGCACAAAGTTTATGCTTGGTACCAAGCATATATCCATTTTTCTCTCTCTCTCTATGTATGTATATATATATATATGTAAGTATGTATATATCATACACTCATCCCTACATTTAGAGGGGGAAAACTTTCCTGTGCAGGAGGGGCGCTGGGGAGGGCCTTCCACATGGGTTGGAGGGGACCATTTTTTAAGTGGGATCCACTTAGATGAAAGGTCCATGTTGTACACATGTCCCATTTTTGCTACAGGCTTCTCCAGCTACATTCAACATATAGGGAGTATGTTGCTCCATAAAACAATTAGTAACCCACTACTTATTAGACAATGGTTTTATTCACAATGCTTGTGATGTAGTCCTGGTGACAACATCAGCTAACTAATTTGCTGATCAAACAAACCGAGTGGGGTTCCATAACACCTCCCAGTAAAATGATGATCAGGTTTGACGTTTTTATTACCTAATGAGTTATGACAATCTGCAAGGTAACTAACGTAGATGGTTGCTTGGTTATCAGAATGAATGCTCATAAGGAGAGGACAGAAAGAACTCAAAATTAGTAAAAGTAGGTTTAAGCCAAAATAAAGTTCAAAGAATGTCAAAGCAATACACCTTTAGTCTATACTGCATCCAGCAAACATACAATGCCCTCTAATGGATCTTCCTTTATTAGTAACATCCTTCAACCATCAGATGGGAAAGAGAACAAAAAGGATCTCACTGCACAGGAAATAATTGGCTGAATAATTGCACGTACAAGTTTCTAACCATATCTGAAAGTTCACAATCACAGTCGTTCATTAACTTGATGATCGTTTGGCTTAAAGTCCACTCACAACCTTAGTTATGTTTATGCAACATTTGTACTGAGGATGGCGATATTTTCCACTAACTAAAAGAAACATTATGTACATTATCCTGTGCTAATAAGCTGCTCCTCAAATATTCCTAAAATACCACTAAAAGAACATTATATACAGCACTTCAGATCCATTAATTTAAAGTCAGCACTACAAAATTAAATTTTTAGAAAGTAAACAAAAAACATTTATTAGCATACGGTGAAAGAAGAATACTTGGAAATTGTTAAGTTTCAGCTTTTGTATTATTCTCTCTGTCAAGGCCTTCTCATCAAGCCTGCAATTGGAAAGAAGCTATTAAAAAAACCAAAAGTAATAATCTTAAAAGAACATTAATAAAGAAGGTGTCAGTCGTGGTAGCAAGGAAATAGAAGCAGAGAGGATGGATAGGAACAAGCACAAGTGCACACAACACATGCACCAGATAGAGACATGTATTTATCTTGTAAACACACACAAATATGTGTCTATATACACGCCGTTGTGTGTGTGAGAGAGAGCGCGTGAGAGAGAGAGAGAGAGAGAGAGAGAGAGATTGGCTCCATCGGAAAGAATTAAAGTTTGATGTTGGATCATGCCTTCATATAATATATATATCTACTTTACCAAAGTTATAAAAAAACATCATATATAATATCTACAAACTGAGTCTTCCTTTTTTTGGGGTCCATGGATCAAATTGTGTAAAATGGACACCCAAAAATAATACTTCACTTGAATCGACATTTTAGGACATATAAATTTTTGATCTGAAGATTGGATACTGATCTAAACACCTAAAGTGCAGTTAAATTAATCAGCTTGTTGCTGTTTAGACCCATTCATTTGCATCTTCTTGGTGAATCAATAAATAAATAAAAACTTAAGAGCTAGAATTTTTCTCTCAGCATTTTAGATGATGCTTCATCAATTTCAATGGAGTGGAACTTCTGGGCTTCTAAACCTAGATGCAGAGAATTTGACTACAAATTCTTCCATAAATAGCCAAGACTCTCCCTCTCCCCCTCCCCCTCATACACAAGCACAAGCACAAGACTCGAGCGTGCACACGATACTCCCCCACCCAACCCCCACACACACATATGCCCATGCACACACACACACATGGATATCTCCACAATTCTCAATATAAGCATTTTGAGATCTCCAAACTGACTCATCTTTTAGATGATACACAATTGTTTATCCTGATCTTCAATCGTAAATATTTGGGGGTGAAGAGGTCAAGAAATTTGAAGATATTTTACATGTGCATCTCATGATCTCTTTGTTATGGCTGACATAATCTTTTTCTCTTTTTTTTTCCTTTTCTTTTGCTACTGGCTTTGAAAATGGGGAAGTATCGGAATCTTCCAAACTCTCGTTCAGGATTAACTTTTTTGTGTTGAAAAAGATCAACGCTGTTGATTGTTTGTAATACAGCTCATTAAGAATCTAAGTTGAAGATTTTCCATATGAATGTGTGGATATAATATAAAGAGATATAGCTTAGCAGCTTTAGAAAATATTTGGGAGCAAATTGTCTTCTTCTAAATTTAATAATACAAAAACTTAGTTAAAGACCGAATCCACTCAAATTAATCTGCATCATTTAAGATGTCAAAAAAAAAGTATTTTTAGTTTAGTTAGCTACACAACAAGTGGTCACAAATTGAATGAACTAAACAGTGAGTTTCCTATTTTAACTGTCAATATCATATAAGGTTATTATAAACCTAACAAATTGATTTATATGAGTTTTTAGTTTTTTAAGCCCTGATAAAATAATTTGATCAACTATTTTTATGCCCAAATTCAAAGATTAAGGAACATGTGAGAACTCTAAAAAAAGATATATAATTGATATTCTAGATGCCTTCAAAGATTAAGGTTGAAATATATGTCCACAGTTGTGTAATTCCCAATCAAATTGTCGTACAGTTCCTTCGAACCAATTCGTGGAGCATTTCCAACTGATTCTCTATGGTACACTCCCTACATTGACAATTGCTTACAATTATGCAGACATGCAAAGTCCCTTTACATGCACATTGCATGTGCATGCTCTAGTGTATCGAGGCGCACACCATGCACATAATAGGTAAACAACCATAAAGAAACATATCTATGAGTTGTCACATAAAAAAGATGTCAAGAATTTGAACTTGTGACTGAAGATAGATAACATCAACTACCAAAATGCACATAAAAGTTTTAATTAATCCAAATAAGCTAATATGCATAATTCAGATAATCACAAATAATCAGAATCATAGGTTCATACTATTGTTTTATATTACATTATGATTACCACAATAATGTCACAGTTTGCATAATTATCTTTCTAGTTACAAGTTTTCTACTGTAGGCTCTGAAAAATGTTACGTGCACCAAACAAAATTTACAGCATACCACGTAGAGAACTCGCGTACCAAAGAAACTT